ATCATAAGTTATAAAATTAAAACTTATTCATATCACATTTTATCTTGTTTACAATCATTAACAAAATAATCTTACAATAAAAATATAATTATAAAAAATATAATTATAAAAAATCTGATTATATTTAATAAATTAATAATAAATAAAAATATATACTTTTTTTAACTTATTAAATATTATAATATTTTTTTAAGTTATATATTATATTTTTATTTTAATAAAGTTTTGTCTTTAAATATATTTTAATTTATTTATTATTTATTTTAAAATTAATAGTATTATAAATTAAATATAAAATTTATTTTTAATTTATATTAATAATTATATTTTATTAAGTTATAAATATAAATAATTCAAATAATAATTTTTATTACTTTAATATATTTTTAAACTTTTTATATTATAAGAAAAATTAAATTTAATATATATAATATTATAAAAAACCAAATATATTATCTTATATTATAATAAATTATAATATATTTATTTCTAAAAAGAGTTTTAATTAATACTATTATAAAAATATAATTTACTTTGAATTTACTAAACATTATATAATTCTTTTATCAAATCTAATTTTCTAAAAATATTAATTATATGATCAAAATCAGAAACTTGCAAAAATATTTTATCATAATTAAGCCTAAATTATAACTTAGTTTTTTTAACGCTGGCTAATTTAAAGTCACATGATTTAATTCAATTATGGCTTGATTTTAATGTTGGCCGAAATTATTTAGCATTTCTAATTTAAATCACGTTTTTTGACATGCTCCGAATAATGTTGACAAAAATTTTTCAAGCAGTGGTAGGTACCAACGCAATTCATTAAGTCACGTGTTCTTTTTTTGTTGGTGATCTGGGTAACATTGTCGAGTAGCAGAACCAATTATGCAGTATCATTGACCTAGCCACAAACAGAGACACACGTAAATAAAATGCGCACTATCAAGATAACTCGGCCCGCTCTTGAATTCATTCGTTCATTAAGGCAAAGTAAAACAAACGGTCGAACCGCAACACAGAAGATTTAACCAATAGCCAATCTCTCTTTTACAATTCACAAATTCACCCGCCCATTCCATTAATTAATTACTTTAATAAATTGATTCATTAAATTCACCGATAATAAGAAAAAAGTAAACAAAAGTTTTTGTGAGAATGCTTGTGACGAAAATTTTTGGTTCATTGTTTGTATTGATTTGATTGATTGTTTGATTGATTGATTGTTTGAATGATTATGCGAGAATATAATGGTGTATGTGTGTTAAGATAAAAAAATACGAAATCGATATTGATGTCTTTTTGTTGTGTGATGATAAATTATGTACTATGTAAATATACTAACGCTACAAAGGAAGATACTACTGTTACTACTGGTGTTGGTCTCCTTCCTATCTCGCCTCCTATCACTCTTTTCTTACATAATCATAATAATAAAGTCCAATTATTCATCTTTTCGGTACCCTTCTTACTACTAAACAAAAAAATACCTATCAAATCCTGAAAAACTATACAATACTTTTTGTTAACGGAAAGAAATTCCAGAATTCAAGCCAAAAACAGACAGAAAAAACCCATAAGAATCATAACAGAATTAGAAAACTAATTAAAAAAAACTGTATACAAATAAAGAAGCAAATTTAAGAGTAAAAAGAATAAAAAATACATAAAAAGGTGTTTCTGTAATTATAGGCAAAATAAGAATGTGTTAAAATATGATACAAAAAAATATAAAGCAACGTTTGTCACGTGTTTTGGTTATATTATGGTATAAGGTGGAAACAAGGAATTTGTAGGTATCTAGATTACGTCTGCGGAGTTAACAACTGTGAAATGGGGTTATAGTAATATGTGCGAGTCGTGATATAAAAGAAAGATCAAGAAAATTACACATAGAACCCTGAACAAAAATCAAAACCCGAAAAATAAAAGTTTTTAAAAAAAATTTACAGAGAAATAAAAAATGAAAATGTGTGTGTGGATGGAGTCGACCATCATTAATAAAAAAGTTAAAAATAAACGCAACTTGAACAGTAATAAGAAATAAATTCAATCGCGTTTGAAGTTTGTGCATTGTGTTCCAAAGTTCATCCACACACGAATGATAAATTTTTGTCTTGATCATTACCAGAATGATAGCCCCAATAAGAGAGATAAAAGAAAAAAATTCATTTTTCCATTGACCCGACGACGATATCTAATATTCCTTATTGATACACATAATAATTGATTAAAATCGATCGATCGATACGATAGATAGAAGAGCGAATTTTAATCACTATGTATCATTAAAGCATCCTTCACAAACTCGTGACCATACACCACCCCAGTCTTCACTTCCATCCGGAAATAGGAGCATTGAGTATGCGCTGTGTGTATTGCAAAATATGTTTCCGCATCTTTATGAGAAATTGAAGATTGAATTTGGATTAGAATTTAAAATAATGTATCAATTTATGAGAAGACTTTTTTAATTAATAAATTAATCACCTTCGACAATGATGACGTCGATTCCAAAAGTTAAATTTAACACTACATCCAGCTTGTTGGCACTGAGAGACTTTGCTGTCTTCCACCCATTCTTTTGCAAGTCCTTTTTTTTTGATTAATAAAAAAAAAGGATTAGCTAATTGAATTGAGATTCAATGTTTTTAAACCACCTATGTGTCGATCAATAAATAAAAGGTGATCCCTTACCATAACGATTCTGATGTCGTACAAGTTCCTCATCGGTGAATAAAGAAATTGGATTTGTATATGATACTCGCCGAGACTAATTATAATAAAAGGATAAGTCGGAAAATTAATTAATTTATTGTTCGTTTACGGTAGATGATTTACGTAAATAAATATAAACAATTATTAACTAATTAACTACCTGAGGTGGAGATAACATATAAGTGGGTATTAATTCTTCGGCGGGAACGGTGGCAGCAACACGATCAATGTAAGCATCTTTTTCGGCCACTCTTTCCATTATTCTCTGTTTCTTTAACTTCTTTCGTTCAACGGTAGCGTTGTTATGGTTACTACTGTTGTTATTAGATGATGAATTATGCCGAGAACTTTGATGATTATTATTGTAGTGATTGTTATGATGATGATGATGACTACTGCTACTACTACTATAGTGACTATTTTGCCGATGATGTTCTCGCTCATTTTGTTCGGTCATTAATTTATCCATCTTCGCTTCCAACTCCATCAGTAGTATTTCCATCGAATTAATCATTCTCGCTTGACCGTTCGTCACTGCCTCGCATTGTCTTATTCCTTCGAGGTATTCTCGTTCTTTCTGTCCCAACATCGCTTCAATATCCTCCTTCACATTAAGCAACTGCCGAAACTCGGCTTTGCTCTTTTCCAGTTGAGCTTGTAACAGATTAAGTTCTTGTGCTTGTTGCATACAATTGTTCATTATATTTTTATATTCTTCGGGCATCTCTTCATCTGAATGTATTGATGATGATGATGATGTCGGGAGATCTTTGTCAGATGATTTGTCTGACGTAGCTGTTGTCTCGTTATTATACGTCGCCAAATTTAAAGATAGTTTCTCAACTTTAGCATTTAACATTTCATGTAAACTCAGCATCTCATTACTACTCTCGATTGTTTTCGTAACTTCATTTTTCGCATTTTTATATTGTTCTTCAAGTTCTTTTTTCTCTTTTAACATTGTCTTGTGGTCTTTTTGTAATCCAGCGAGACTTTGCTTTACAGATTCAATTTCTTTTTGCAATAATGTCACTTGATCTGATAATTTTGGATCCTCGGCATCATCTGATTCTTCCGAGAAAACCGAGGACGAACAAGATAATTCACCACTTTGTATATCGTCATCATCATCGTCATCACGGTCATCTTCGAAAGCCATACTTGTGCGTTTCTCTATACGTTCATGATAGTCAAGCATTTGTGCCGTCAAAGGTATTGAAGCGCCGCTAACACCACCAACTTTTTTACCAGCCTCTACGACTCTATTACTAGCAGGGGGTCTTGGTAAAATTGGCCGGTGATGCGAGTCACGTATAATACCTTCATCAATACTTCCTCTTCCGTAATAGTAGCTGTGCGTTATTCCGTACTCTGGACGCGAGGGCGGAGTCATTGTCATTCTGGTATTGGTAAAGGTTGGCGTCGTGGTGTCGTATGCTAACCTTGGTGGCCTTGGTATTGAATAGTCCCTTTTTGTTAGTGTGGTTGCATTAAAAGTATTCGCTGTATTTGAAGAGACAGAAGTGGGTGCATCTCTCCGTGGAGCACGCACTGCTTTAATGTTATAATGCGCCAGTACTTGATTTGAACTATTGGATCTTCGACGTCGTTTCTTTATTACGCAGCAGCCGTAGAAATAGAAGTGTGGCAGCAAAAAGTAAAGTAGTACGTGGGTTGGTATTATTAGTTGGTTTAGTATTTATATGCAAGTTGTATAGAATAGGAGTGTGTACGTGTACGTGTATGTATATATGTATATATGTATGTAAATGGATACCGATACCGAGAGGAAATGGTAGATAAATAATATCACGTTTTCGAGAAATACGATGAATGACGACGAACACCAATAATTTTCAATTAAAGAGAGAGAATAAAGGAAAATAGGTTAGTGGAAATAATTAAAATAATTATCTATAAATATATGCTCCTTGTTCAAGAACCCAAACTTACCGGAAATTCAAACCGTTGTTGTGGAAATAAAACGTCTGTGGTTGTTGACGTTGATACACTCATATGAGAATATGAACGTTTTTTTTTATTTTTATTTTTTTTTACTGTTAAAGCCTTACCACTATTATTACTACGAGTTTGCAATAACCCAAACTTTTTTACTTTGGGATATTGCCCGGGGTATAAGTCAAAAGTATAAGGAGTAGTAATACACGCAAGAGAGAAGATAGGAATTAGGAGGTAAACGGGAAGAATTAATTGATATGAAGAAAGAAAGACTTTTGTCTCTCTGTGTGTTTCCTCAAATTATTATTATTTATTATTATAATAACTTAAAAATTTTTCTTCTCTGCTTGAAGTAAAAAAAAAGTTCAAAGATGATGATGATTACGATGAGTAAAGTTGTATATCGATTTTATATTGATGAAAGATGTTTGTAATGTAAAGAACTTGCTGCGAAGGATGGTTGGTTGGTTGGTTGTTGGTTGCTCAATAAAAAATTAATTGTGATTGAACACAGAGTCAAAAACAAGTCCGGAGACGATTTTCTGAATATGTGCCAACTGAGGCTTTATATACAACGTATACAGATAATAAATGTAACGAATTTACGTCTATTTATATTATTTAACATATATATAAAAAAAAATAAAAAAGATCCTTTATTGAGATGGCCTGAGAGAGAGAAAAGATTGAGAATGTGATTTTATTAAAGTAGCGCTGTAAGAGAAAGCAGCGAAAGTTTATTGTCGTGTAAGAGAAGACTTATTATTATTATCTCTATCGTTAAACATAATATATAAATTAATTGTTTACAGTAAAAAAAAAAAATTTATTTATTATAGTTAGAACGCAGCTGGCGGGTATTTATTTTGTGGGTTAGAATATTTTATTATTATCGTTATTCTTATTATTATTATATTGTCTGCGAAATTGTCGAATCATTGAAGACCCAAGAAAAGAGCCGCATATATTTATCTTGTTGTGTACACTTTTATAGTACAATAATAAAAAAAATCAAATCATACCATAAATTAGAATGTAGGGACTCACTGACTAGTGAAAAAAAGGGGAGGGAGAACATATGTGTATATTTAATGTATATTTTATTTGGTATACGTATTTATACATATCGATATTTGATTGTGCGTGCTTCGGCGTGTTAGAAAAAGGAAGCGAGACTGAAATAGGGTTTAGTTGAAAATTTCGCAATAGCGAAAGTTTTTATTGGACGTAAAATGAAATCGAGTAATTTAGTATTACTGGATACTTGCATACAGTAGTAAGCAGGGTCAGTGACAGGGGATTTTGTTCAAAAATTTTTTGTTGATGTCAAAATTTTATTATTTGATCAAAAAAATAAATACAACTTCTGATTTTAATTGATGATAATTTAACCTCCTCAGATGATTCTTTTAAAAACTTTGAATTCCTAAAAAGCAGAAAAATAAGGGAATTTTGATACCTGTTTCGATAAAGTATTTTGTTTCTCTTCTACCAAACAATAACAAATACTCTCACAGATCTCACGCGCGCACGATGCTTTTGGTTTTGTTAATCAATGCACACTCTCACCCTGTTAAAAATTAATATAATGATCACATGGCGAAAATAACTTCCCCGGAAAATTTTTCTATGAACAATGATTTTACCTGCTTATACATTGCGGCTAACCGCAGTTAACGCAAGCGGGTTGGTAAAAATGTCAATGCAAGTTTACATATTCATCTGATTCTAATGGTCAGAGTACACGAGAACCCAGTTCTTTGAGGCTGAGGCGGCGAATATAACATGATAAGATAAACATCAATACAAACACCAACAACAATAGTAAATGTTATTGCCCGTTTAGGAAATAATAAATTTACATATGCATTATCATGAAGTCGTCCCGGGAATAAATACCTTCCGTGTATAGTAATCAAAAGTAAAAGAATGACCACTACCATAAATTTATCATTAAAAAATACATGCTGTCAAGTATTATCAATTTTTGATTGTCAAAATTTCCCTTGTTCGTTTCTCAAAATCATCATCGTGTATGATCATTTCTCGGTTCGCATGGGAAACACCATCTTTCAGATTTCTTTTATGTAAAAGTATAACAAGTAAGACAAGTTTTAAAAGTGACACAGAAAAAGGCGTTCGAACTGTTTAGTGCCCTAAAAATCAGCATTTAAAACAAGGGTATAAAACAAAGCACGTAGTCGGTCAGTCGTTTAGATAGACACTATGACAATAACCGAACGAGTTCTGCTATATTAGATGTTCTTGTATTCCATATTTCGAGATCCATAGTGTTTTCAGTATTGTTGTTCGATGAGAAAAATTTTTCATTTGACAATTTCTAAACAGGAATATCACCAGCCACTAGCACAAATGACATCACCAGCCACCAATTCCCGTATGACTTACGCGCCACACTTTTGGACATTCAATTCTGAATGTTCAAGGTTCCAAAAACGAAAGCTTCCTAAATATAAAATTCCCAATTGGAATACATATATCTATCTTTACCCCAAAGAATGCGGATTTTTAATCGTTATGTTAACAATCTCAAATTCATTTTAACAATAACATTTTGATTTGTCCGTGTTACATATCGTCATTTTCTTGAAGGATATTGCACCCCTTTTTTGTACTATTAGAATCCTTCAAATGCTTCAGGTGATCAGATCGTATAACATAACAAGCATTAAGGAGTTAAAGAGAGGAATGTTGCGATATTAATACATCATTAATATAACTCACAATTAAATTATAGGTGCAAGATCTTGACTAAAAGAAAGATTACGACCCTTATTATCTACAATCATGAAAATGAATTTCCCGCACGAGAAATATCATTGAAAAAGCAAATATTGCGTGCTCATGCATCATCGTAAATAAACTATAACAAAAAACTTATCAACATTTTCCTTAAAATTGTTATTGTGAGAAATGCAAGATGTTTAAGTTGCTGGATTACCATTTTAGTTTAACGTTTTTCGTTTATTAAATACTTAATTAAACTTGCATTGTCAGTATCGTGTTAACAATGAGATTTTAATCTTGGGATTCATGAATTAAGCAATAAATCACAATGATGCTTTTTGCATTATTAGAATTCCACGTGCATTAATTATATTCATCTGTTAGAAACATATGCTTTCATTTTTTGAGTTTGAATCTCGATTATTAATTGAACAAATTAAATATCTAAAAAACAAGGTACTTATAAAACCCGGTTAATAAAGTGAATATCGCAAAAAAAAAAAAAAAAAAAAAAGGGTTAACTCTTAATCAAAAAATGACTCGGCCCATATAACGATAATAAAAATCATGCACGACACCTATAATCAAAGTCAAAATAAAAGGGCTTGTTTTATTAAAGTTCTGTAGCTTCTTGATACCAAACCTTAATAAGTCTTCCTTGATCCTGATATTGGGGAATTAGATTTTTTTTTTTTTGATTAGAACTTTGAAACGAACAATTTATTTTGGTATAATCATCAAAACAGAGACAGCCTAAATATTACGATAACCTTTTTATTTTTATTATGATAAATTTAATGCATACATCACGATATTCTTGGAAAATACATACACGTGGCTTAACGATTGGATAGCTAGATGATTTACTTAATTATGTAAAATGCCATTTTTTATTTTTTTTTCACCTTACCGGAGCTGGGATTACGAGTTGGTTACATTTACTTGCTTTTGCAGCATTTATGCTATTTAAAATTTTCTTTGGCATTGCCATGCAATTATTCAAAAGATTGCGTAATAATATCTTTGTAGTCGCAATGGCCATGCCATGAATATACAGTATGCTCGCCAAGCATATGCCAAAAGCAAAAAAAGGACCGAACGAAAAAATTTAGTGCTCTTTTTTGTTTTCTTTCTTTCTTTCTTTCTCTCTCCCCACAATCAAAATAGGATTTTGAGCAAAAAAAGATGATCCCAATAATAAAGCATGCCTAATGAATTGACCACGAACCTCAAGGAAAGTAGGTTTTTTTTATTTGTGCGGGGAAACAATTACACATTTATACGCATCTATGGTATGAGAATAAAAATGAGTACATGCATGTAAGCATGCAATCTATTATAGAGTGGTTGCCAACGTCAAAGCATAACATTTAAAAGACTTTTTTTCCTTCCTTCGAAATCTGTTTCATGTATAGCGTAAGATAAGCCAATGACTTAACTTTGAAACAGCTGCGTGATGTCGTGAGAATTCATAGAGCTCTTTAAGTTTATTTGTTTGCTAACCTTTTGTAATGCTATTTATATGTATGCATATGTAGTTGCATCAATTTAAATGTGATTATGATTTTTTTTAGTTGCGTTTGGTGCATGTGTATAGATACAAATTACCTTAGAGAGAAAATCATTAATGGCTTTGATAGAAAAATATGCGTAAACCTAAAATTTTGTATTACAATGATAAAGCCTAATCACCTACAACGTATAAGTTCTACGATCTTCATTATTTTCCTGTTAATATATAATCGGCATATGCGCGTGTTCTGGATTCGAAGTTTGTATGGTTTTTTCGAAGAAGTCGAGATAAGAGATGTTGTAGCAACTTTATTTATCTTATGCGCTATATTAACTAAGTGACTTATTATATCACAGAATCTCCGTTTTTTCTTTGGCCATTTGAAGTAAAAATTGTCTCCGAAAACCAATCAATAAGTTGGTTCCCTCAAGCTGCATTCTTATTTGTCAACCGAGATTTTAGAACTTGTCCACAAATGCGCATCCGTTTGCATTTATTCGAGCAATTTTGAATTAAAACGAAAAAAGGAGTTCTACGTGTAGGAATGCGTTTAAGTCAGTTGTGTCCTCTTTTAATTTTGATTCATCCTTGTAAAAATCAATCGTTCCTTGTTATCTTTTTTATATTGATGTTTCACTAATGATAATACGCTTTCAAGAGCTAAGCAAAGATGTAGATGCGTATACACACACACACTTATTTTTTTGTTTCATTTAACTGAGATTTACTGATTTCCATAAAATTTGATTGATATTCATGCTCTCATGAGATCTTATCAAACAATAAATCTATGTAC